ACGTTTCAGTAACAAATTAATTTAAAAAGAAGGAATTTTGAATGAGGTGCAGGTAATTTCTAATTTAGAACTGTCAAAATATGAATTAAAAAGTTTTCAGTTAACCAAGTAGATGGCACTACTTACCGGACGATTTCGACGATATTTTTGAGGTTAAGAGAATTGACTTTTGGCTCGTTATGTTACGGCCGTATGGAGCGCAGCGGAAGACAGATGAAGTAGGCCATGGTACTGTTTGTCGTAGTTTTACAGAAATCTGTAAATAAAAGCAAGTGGCGTCGTCTCTTGGTTGTATGTTTTTCATTACCATATGTTTGCCTATGCCTGTGGATCAATCCTGATCATAGGACAATTGTTGAAAAAATGAGAACTACTACGTCGACAACATTGGCGACTAAATTGAGCAACAGCAGGGAAGGTGAAATTTGTGATGTTGAACATTCGTTCAAAGAAGGAGGAATTTTGCAGAATTGCAGCAATCTTTATTTTTCAAATTGTTCAGTTACTTTTGTAAAAAAGTAATAAAAATAATAATCAAGTTGGTTTAAAATATTCACTACAACCACTCGTGGAATATCCAGTTATATTTCACCACGAGTGAAGTATTCGCTTGAATTTGCTGTTGCTAGGATACGAAAGTAAATCTCTGCTATTTTATTGGTTACTATTTAAAAAAATAGAGGTGAATTGAATGACTATTCAATCTATTTGACCAATGAAAATGTAATGTTTGTTGCATCAAGAATACGGATACCTAAAGACTATGTATGTAGTTTTCCGTAATCAAGAATTTAGTCAGGCTCATTATTTCTCGTGAAACACCCCGACATAATGTAACAATACTAAATTAGGCACCTGCTGGATATGAGCCGAAAGCTCGAACAGAAAGAGCTTTCAGTCAAATTGCTGCTCTAATATTCGATTTATTAACAAAACTACTTATATCACGAACTAGCAAAGAGTGGTTAGACATGTGAGAAACTTCCCTATACATCTTCCTCGAGAAGATGCAATAAATGGGCTCATGAATCATCGGGTTGGATATAAACTTGATGACAAAATGATTAAGTTTCCTAAGACCGAACATTTGTACCCCAGGGGTAATTTTTTTTTTATAACCCAGCGCCCTTTTGAGCTTATTAATTAAAAAGCTTGCCAGGTTTCAACCAATTGACACTATTTCACATCAGTTCAAAAAATAACAATTTGCAATTGGAATAAGACAAACAATAACAAGATAATTTATGTAAAAGTATCCTAAGCAAATTTTTCTCGCGGTGATACACTTAGCTGCCATCTCAAAGGAAAGAAAACATCAAAGCTCGAAAATTTAATTTATTTCCTTTCACCTTTTTGTTTCTAATTTGTTAAATTCTACTAAATAGATCTAGAGAGCACCGAAAGCGTTTCTTTATTTGCGGAAGGTATACTAAAGATTTAATTAGTTCAGTTATTGATAAAGGTGTCAAAATCGGAATCATTGAAAATCCAACCGCTGAAATTTTAAACCTAGCTCGCAACAAACGAATAAGTTTAATTAAAATTTCTATGACAATACTATATTCAGCATTTAATTAGACTATATTTCTCAGAAGTTAAACTTGGAAAATTAATTATTCGAGATTAAAATCTAGTTGCTCTATCGGTTCATGAAACATTTTACTTATACGTACTTATACGAGACAGCGCAAATAACCTAATTTCTACGATTCAATCACTTATACATTATTCGAAATAAAAGCCGATACAAATCGTGCAGTCATAAAATTTAGACTTGCATTATTCACATTTAATAAATGAAGAAGCTTTGTCCTAATTTAATTCAATCAGTGTTTCAAATAAATATAACAAAGAGGTTATCAACAAAAAACAATCAATTTTCTAATTTGTAGAAACGTCGTATTTTGTCGATTTTATACAAAACAACTTTTGTAAAACATTCAGCCTGCATTTTTTTCTACTCACAAATAAAAGCTACTCATTGATCGTTAATAAACTAAGTAATATCTAATTATTTACTATTTTATACTATTTCTTTGCAAAATCACTTAACCGAATCATATTTATTTATTTTTGTTGAATTTGTAATCTAGCAAAAACTTAAAAAAATTGGCATAAAAATCCTACTCTCATAAAATATTTATTAATATAAAATAAGCATAAATCTTTGTCTGAACGTGAACGTATTTATAGCAAATGAAGGGTTTACATAAACGAAATAATACGACAATACATCAAATGCACGAATGTCATAATGCTACTCGCAACGCTGCAAAATATGTCGTTGTTTATTTGTTTTATATAGACCATTTACGTATGTAGCAAGAAAATGGTGTAAAGACGTAAAGACAATAAAAAACCAGAAGGTTTATGTGATAGAAAAGAAAAACATACCTAATTTAAAAATTATGCAGTTTTAAGGCAAACCATTCCATCAATGCATGCTAGAAATTTGTAAAAAATTCCGTGAACATAACAGACATCTAAGAATTTCAAGTTTCATATAAAAATTTGCATTACGGTTTGAAAAACAAAACAGTGAGTTTTTGCAAGTCCCTTATTTTAACGTTAACCTTAACGTCATTTAATTGTCGTGTGTATGCATGCGTCTTTCAAGGGCAAAAGGCGTATTCCGTCAGTTGAAAGAAGTTTACGTAAACGTCTAATTTTTTGGCAACGGCCATTTGTCCTAATACGTTAAACTTTTTTAAGATTTGCAAAAACTCTCTTAATGATAAAGATTAATTTTTACATGTCAGCCTGATTCACCTATCTTTGTGCTTGCTTAAATTATTTAAAACCGAATGTCGTTTGAAAGTGTATGTTCTACCTGTGCGCTAATTGTGAGTTTTTATTTTTCATCAAGTAAAAAAAGTCGTATGAAAGCTTTGCCGCGAGCCAATTTTTGTCCGTCTTCATGTGCTCTCGTTTCCTTGTCTTCTTAATTAACCATCGATTTCAGATATCAAACTACGAGTACCTTTTTTAAAATACTTAGTACATTGGATTTCTTAGAAGCAAGCTAATATCTAATATTATGCTGTAGAAGAGGTTACTTCAATCCCATACAAAAACAATAGACCCTAAAATAAAATTTACGTTTTTTGTTATTTCAATAATGATTATTCATAATTTTTGCCATTTTAACTAGTGTAGTCGGCAAATATAAGTTTATTATGAAAATGTAATGCATGTAAAGGGTTTAACTTTCATCTACGTGGCCTTTTTGCGAGTGGCGTAATCTCCTTCCAGTCAACCAAAAGTCACCCCTCTGTTTACATTCCAGCTGTATTAAAATAGGCTTTTTAAAAACAATATTTATTTGGATGTATTCATTAAACTTACCGCTTAAGGGATTTCATTGTTTAAATTTTAAAATGTACGAGAGAAAATAATCATTTGCGAAGAGCGCAACCCTCATCGTTACTTTTTCCGCTCGAAATCCGACTATTCTTTCAACGAATAAATCAGATGTTTCATTACAAAACATAAATATTAGAAGCTATAAATTCGACATTGCGTGCCGATCTTCATGCGGAAGAAGAATTCGCCACATGTACGATACGTCAACCATAAAAATAGGTAAGCTGAAGATGAAAAACTACCCTTATTTAACTTAATGACGGCTAAAGGTTCACGGTTTACGGATTTATTGATTAATTTGCCAATTTACTTTTAAATAGGCGTGTGCTTAAATTTTCACAACTTTTCTGCGAGTTTGTGACGTTTTTAATTAACCGCTTGAAAAGCAAATGACTGACAAGAAATAAATATTGCATGCACTGTAATTTTTGTGTACAATGGTATCAGACGTGGTTTACATTTTCCACACAAAAACGGTAGAAAATCCTCGAGAAACCTGTTTGTGAAAATATACGGAATCTCGCAGACTTCCTTCCCGTTTCAGTCTTTATCGGCCTTGTCGTTAATGATGTATGAGGTTGAGTATTATTCAAAGCAAAAGAATCTAAAAAAAGTTTTTTTAGATTTCAGTAAATCATACAGCTTTTTAAACAGAAATATACAGATTAAAAGAAGGTTCTTTATAACCTATTCTGTTTTATTAGATATTTCTCAATTTTAAGACAAAAATATCAAGTAGGTATAATTATGCCTCGGGCATCATACCTACTCATTTCCGTTTTACTTTGTTTTTAATGGTACATATAAGTTTTTTAGCGACAATTTCGTCATACACGTATCACGATTCACAAGCAAACAGACATAAAATAGACATAAAATCCTTAAATCTCTGAAAGTTAACATTGTAACAAACGATGGCAAAAACTTCATAATTACAAAATATTTTAATTTCTAAATAGAATTTAACTGAAGCTTAAAAATTGAAGATACACAAAAACAAAAATCGTTGTGGCAAGTAAAATATCATCCCATTATAAATTCGTGATTCCGACACCAATTGGATTTTATTTTAAGATTTATCTTCGAAAAAAAAATCAAAGAGTCAAAGCATCCCTGAGAGTGAATACCTTTGACTAAAAGAAAAGCTTTTATTCTATTGTAATCTGCAGCGTTTATATACTCCTCACATTTTTCTCTTGAGCGAATGACGTGTTTAACACAGGAATAAAATCAATCCTCCATATAAAAACCTAATATTCTTAAACGGCCACAAAAAGAATTCAATTTATAAATAAAAATTTTAATTTAGTTTAAAAAGGTTTTAACTGCTTAATGATTATGTTGAATGATATTTATTAAGGCTTCACTTTTAATTATCTATCGAAATTTCTTTATAAATGATCATTTAATACTCATTAAACTTTTCGAAATTCGAAATTAAAAAATATTCTAGAAAAATGTGCAAAGAGTGTTGGATTGAGTCAAATTCTGTCTATCCTGACAAGTCCTTAACGTGTCCTGAGACGCGTTTATCAGATCTAAGGCGTCCAGAATCGATGTCATTAAATTGATAAGATGTAGTAAACATCTTGTGAAGGTTGTGTACGTTGTCCTGCTGTCAAACCCAGCGTTCTTACCTTGTGCTGTCACTGCTGGCAAAATCCCGATGAAAAAAAGTACAAATTTTCGCAAAACCGCAACCATTTTGCTTACAGACAACAGATCTGTGAACCACTCATTAAGCACTTCCCAAACTCAATTAAAAAAAACCTCTGAAAACCACCCACAATCGATAAGATTAATCACTCAAGTTTTGGCGAGTTTATCGTGTTCCGGAGCGAACGTCTCTGGAGCGCTCCGGGATACTTATCCGCAATTAAAATCCGGTTGCCGTGCACCGGAACATTGTCAGATATGTAAATAACAATCCAGAAACACGAAATTTATGCAAATCCTGAAGTAAACTCCGTACACATGGATGATATGTCACTGGAGGTGGGCGGGTCCGGACTAATCGGAATTTTTCCGGAATAAGTTGATTACTACAAGTCTCGCGTGCTACTGAGCTAGCTTTTAGTTGAAAACGTTCAAGCGTGCGCGCGAAAACTCCCCACCATGTCAAATATGTCGCACCCTGGATGCGCACCCGGACCCACCTGAATACGACCGTAAAGTATTTTTGATGTTTGCAGATGAATGACGAAAATTCTTTATCAATTCTTAACTCTTGGGTCGATCCGGATGAGTTTACGGTAGACCACACGATCGAAAAGTGATACGGGCACTGGGAATTCTTGTTAACAGGGGCAAGGGATTAAAGTGACGAAGTAATTCGACCCAGTTTATGATACGCCCCCCGTCATCTTCTTCCAAAAGTCGAACACCATGCAATTTTTAGCGGAAATTATTATGACATGACTTTTAAATATGGTGTTCAAGCGGATATTAAAACTCAAAAACTGTAAGCTTTTATTTCAACTAATTCTAAATAAAATTATCCTAAAGTAAAATATAATAAGTAATCCTTGTTTTCTATACAGGGTGATTTCGATATAGTTTGCGTAATTTTAACTACCAAGTCCCACAGTTGGTTACGTTAACAAAAAAATATAATTTTTTAGAAAAAGGAAATAGTGGACGAGAAAATTATGATCAACATTTGGGTAGTAAATTTAAGTACGACACTGCATAGTCACTTTCCATTACAAGTGATTTTTAGGGTTGCAAAAGAAAAACGGATAAAAACGCTTATCGCTTGGCGTTTTTGTAGCTTTGTCGTTTGTTGACTTTTCAATCAGTGTTAAAATCGCCACTGCAGTCAGTGTTTCGGTGCAAATTTGTAATTAATAATTTGTGTTAATAAAACGAAAAATGCCCTACACTAACATCGAGTACGAGGACGTAGTGTACTGTTATTGCTTAGCAGACGGTAATGGAGAACAACGTTTCACAAATCGCCCAGTTCCCTAGTGCCCCAACGTTTCAATAAACCTTACAACGTACTCGTATACGAGATCATGGCACCGTCCAGCCCCATACCCAAGATAGAGGTCGTACTAACCGGATTTTGGAGGTAGAACCACAAATTCTGGACTTAGTGGAACCAAATCCTGGAACAAGTACACGTAGAATTGCTCATCAGCTTGAAGTATCTCAATTTGTTGTTTGCGTATTCTGTATGGGTTCCTAAACGAACCGGAGTTTTTAAGTGTGGTACTTTTTACCGATGAAGCCGGATTTACGTGTAACGGAGTTTTTAACTTGCGTAATATACATGTTTGATGTGATGAAAATCCTCACGCATTAATAGAACAACGTGATCAAGTGCAAATTCCATGCGTCAAAGAAGTCAAGCCTATATCGCCAATAACGGTCATTATTTTCAGCATCTATTATTGTAACCTTTAAGTAAGTAATTTACGAATGACGTTTTTTTTAAAAGAAATTTTATCATCACTAAACTAACAAAAACGTCTATTACGTCGACTACTTTTTTTATTGCATTTCATTTTCATTTAAGCAAAGCAGTGAGCGTCGAATATAGGATGGGACGGGGTTAATTTTACATTAGCGAATTTCAAATTTTTGACACTGCCCAAAGTTTACATTGCTTCTTCAAATATCATACAAAAAAATACGAAAAGTATATCAAAATGACCCTGTGTATTTGCAATAATAAAATATATGCAATTAAAACAATATTCAAGTACAAGTACATACATAATGTAGGTATCTAAAGTTTCTATTTTTGTTTCCACTGTGATTGTTCTGGAATACCTACTCGTATTTATAAAGATACATAAAAAAATGAATTATGTACGCATTATCTACATATTTGCTAGACACAAATAATAATTAATTACCCTCTTTATGTAAAAGGTTGCAAACATATTTACCCAAAATTATTATTATAAATCCTATCACTGAACTCTTTGAATCTTTTGAACTCCTATAAACTAAAATTGTGATAACTATACATACAATTTTGTTGCTAATTAAATATTTTGTAGCAAGCTTTATTTTGGTAGGATATCTCCAGACCTCAACCAACAGTTGTCAAGCAAGTATTTTGTTTGTTTTGAACAAATTATATTGTTCTGAAAAGCGATTTCGAATATTTGAAGATTTCCTGAAACCTGAAACCTGCTACAAGCGGACACCTGTAGACGAAAGCAATTAATAATTTAAACCCGTTTTTGAGAATAACAATGTTTTCTTGTGTTGTTGGCCTATTTATCAAAATAATAATACAGTGTGTATAATAAAGTGGACGGACAGTTTTCCACGATAAAATTTGATTGGCAATTAATCCTGTTGATATCCGCAGTTATCCAAACGTATGGCTCTCTCTACTAATCCCACATTAAACTTGTGATTTACTCAATGCAAATGACGACTCTTTCTGTTTAGTTCTCAAAAATGAACCCAGGAACTTCACAATTAATCACAAATTTTTTAATGTCTTTCCTTATATAATCCATTTTATTCCCGTTTTTCTTCCATTTAATCTGATCCACTTCCCACGCTTTAGTCTCACAAAATCTTACGTTTTCGCGTTCTTTCCTTGTCGCAAAAATTCAATAAATGTGCTAAATATCTGAAATAAATCAGTTCTTGTCTTCTCATAAACAAACATTAGTTTTTAGAATCAACATCTGACACTTGAAGTCGCTTTAAAGCTCATAGTATTCCGTCGACAATGTACTTTTGAATATTATGTTCACCAAGATGCACACTATTTTGTTTATCGAACATCACGAATGTTACAAGTGGCATCACGACTTCAAGAAAATTCTACAATGTAAAAGATAGTATTATATGTTTGAAACAGCAGTGTTAAAATGCTAATTAATTTATGTCTGGATTTATGAATATTTTAAGCACACTTTCGGACATTAACAATTTTACAATACTATTTCATGCAAATAATTTTCTAAAGGTTTTCTTAAATGTCGGGTTATACAATAAAAACTTGTGTTATTTACACAAACGTATGTTTTTGTAACAGAAAACAAATAGAACTCGAGCTAGGAAACTTTATTTCAAGTTTAGTGTCCTTCCAAGTCCTATTAAAAGAAAATGCTATTTCACATTAAATGCAATATTAATAGAGACTAAACACAAATTGAGCGATTCAGCAAAGTTATTGAAACTCACTTCACAAATATGGGTGCAGACTATTTTAAGATACGTTTATTATACGTTTGTAAAAAATAAAGTATTTCAAGACGATCCCCTGCATTCTATTAGGATCTGTTTTTGATAAATCTCATTTGTCAGCCTAATGGCATTTTTATTGTGAAAAACGAAGCAAATTAACAGGAAAATAGTTCGAAATTAATTTGACGCGCAATGTGCCTCTAAATGGAAACTTATATACATGGGGAAACACAAATCGGTGGGAATTAGGATACCAAATGAGTAGCAGTGCAAAAGAACCATAAAAATATGTACCCACGCAACCGTGATGCATAAAACAAAGTAAAGTCGTTTAATGTAATGCCAGACATATTCTTTTCCCAATGTATCCGAATAAATAGACTGGGAAAATCAAATAAATAGAAAGCACTTTTCCCTTTAAATGACGGGAACGCCCTAAAAATTGGCGTGGTCTGAGCGGTATTCGTAATAAGAACGTTACACTATTTCAGCCTGAACACCATTGAATTATGTAGGGTTGATGCATGGCAACTTAAATCTTAGACATGGCGGTGCAGGTAGACTCTATAAAATTTTCTATTTCAGACAGATGGGCCACTAAAATTTTTCTGCACTAGATTCAGCACGGTTATGAATTTCGTATGATTTTATTATACGATGTGTCTCATTTAAGATGGCCGGTATAAAGCCGCTCGTTTATTTTTATTGCCTAAAGTAACTCCACAAGATGCATTTTCTTTGCCTTCGAATTCACTTCAAATTAATAAGAGTTAAATTTTAACAAAGCAATTAATGTGGTTATTTGTTAGTACTCGTATAAAGTTGGCTGATTAATGCGATTTGTGGTTTGTAACTCTAACTAAGAAAACTCTAAATTTGCATGATAAGAACTTTGAATTTTTAACTTAAAAACATTTTCTCATTGTTATTCAGTTTGTCGTAGTTGAGATGCGACAGATGTTTCTCATATCTCATTGAAAAAAGATTTGTCAAGAATATTTAAGTTTATTTCCAAGTTTTTTACCGTTAAATTTTAGGAAAAGTACGTCAAGTTTTCTGAGTGGGCAGAGACACATTATTAAAAATATTTTAAGATAGGGGACATAAAATTCTTGATAAATTATTTACATTTATGTCAACAACTCGTTTTTGGTTTTACATAATGAAATTTAATTTTACAACGATTTTGACAGACAATTATATAATAAATACTAGCGATTAAAACATTTAACGCTATTTATAAACTAATCAGCATTTAAAATGTCTGCGTATTTAAAATTAAGTTTTGATGGATCAACATATTTCAAAGTGTCAAACATCTTAATTTATTAATTAACAGTGTTCGTTCCCTTTAAAACAATTTGTTCATAGTTTCTTACTCGAGATCAACCTTGTAGTTATTTTATATCGTATAAAGAAATTACAAAGAAATCATACATAATTTACCTTAAACTTTAAAACCTTCGTTTCATTTCATCTTTGATCCAGCTGTCTCGCCACGTAAATACTTAGGCTTTAATCAATAAATTTTCATTTATTAAAAAGCTGACGCAACATACAATTTCAGTTTGATTTCAACTCAATAATTCTAAAACCACATTTTTTCTAGAAAAAAAACTAGATCAATTCTGACCTGAAACATTAGCTGCTTTCAGATTCGTCTTATCTATCACACTAAAAATAAATTTTCATATTTTAAAGCCCTTGTGGACGTTGGGTAAAAGCAATTGCTAGTCAATGTCTCTCTTCATGAAGTTTTAAATCGGCTAAAACCCATACCCATACTTTCAATTTTAGACGTCGAGTAACTAAAGTCGACGAAGGAATAAAATATTTTTCAAGTTTAATTCGGCAAGCATAGCGCAATTATTATTCAAATT